TTTTTTTTTTTTAAATTTCGGTAATTTTTCCTTAATATAGTAAAAAAATAAAAACCCCAGTGGTGAATAAATACCACCAAAAGAAAGCTCTATCTGTCCCCAAAAAAGGGTATAAAATTAATTTCAGTACAGCGTTGCATGACGGAATAAATGTCAGTCAAAGTACCGCAGCGCTGAATACTGAAAAATGGCCTGGATGGGAAGGGGGTTTAACACCGCGGATGTCAACTGGTTAAGAAACAAAAAAAATACGTTACACTCACCCGATCTTAGGAGGCAACTTGCTCTTAAGCTAGCCATACACTGCTTAGATTTTCCAAAGAACTTTCATACAAAAGATCTTTTTCAAATTTGTATTAGTTGATGGGGTCAAAACGATGATCGATTTCGACCATAATGACAAAAAAAGCTTGAAGGAGCAGGATGGAAATTTTTCACGAATGAATGGAATCCTAACAGTGAATGTTTTTCGTTCTGAAAACTCCATTCATTCTAAAATTGAACGTTAGAATCAAATTTGATCGACAATTGTCGAGCGTGGTAAAGAAAAGTTTTTCGTACCAATGTTCTTTCAGAAATCTACTGTGTATGGCCAGCTTTAGACTGGTCCCTGGAGCCTCTCTCCTCTCTGCTGCAGTGGTCTAATGTCCCGTCGGCAGTCCGGGTTAGTATAACTTTTTGGGTTTTTTTTTAGCACCTAGACAAAAATAAGCACTTAACTCTCACAGTGCGCAGGTACTCCCACTACCAGGGGTTAAGAACACTTTTGTCTGAAATTCTTCTTTAAACTAAATCGTTTCCATAGTTTCTAAAGGAAGAGTGGTTTAAATAATTAACCTAGTTATTCTTCTAAAATTGTACCTATATTCAGACCAAAAGAGTCCAATGAATCATATAATTGTTTTGTACAAAACCAAAAGATAAAGTGCCATTAAAGTCAAAAGGGTCTTCCGGCTATTTTTAATGCTGATTAAATCATTCACAATGGATGCTGCTCCTTGCTGTTTTAAAGGTTTAGTCTGCTGCAGAATTAGCTGTTCCTCTGAGCACTGGCCCCGATATCCTGTTTTAGGGTGGCTCTGTTCTCTTGCAGGTTCCTATGGAGCTACCCTTGTGCATGCTAGTAAGCTTTGTTGTTTGGAAACCTGATGACTAAGTGCTTGGGCAAAAATTGTAATTAATACTTTGCTGGAAAATGTATGTTTGATTGTACGTTTGAGCATTTAATACTACTTTAAACCTTCCTCTCTTACATCCAGAAGCCTCTGCTCCATAACAGAGTTTTTATCGGGACTTCCTAGTAGAGATGTCACAGAGAGGTTCCTACTCCCAAATTACAAAATGGTTGCATCTATGCCAATTTTCTTTGTCTACTAATGTAGCAGCGTATAGATAAGCAACAACATGAAACCAATTAAGGAAAAAGTATATACAAACCATTAGAGTTGACAAGAGGCAGAATGAGAACAGGCCTAAACTGTAAATCCTTTATTAAAAATGGAAACAATAAATGGCACAAACAGCACTCTGCAGAGATGTGCAGGAGGGA